TTTTGCAGGCTGCGAAATGTGCCATTTTCGTCAGTCGATCGACGACGACCAGGATCGCGTCGTTCCCACTCGCCCCGGCCAGTAACCCCGTGACGAAGTCCATCGTCACCTGCTGCCAAGCACGCTCTGGGGGTGGTATCGGCTGCAACTGTCTCGCCGGCCGCTGTCGTGATGATTTCATGAGCTGACAAGTGGGACACGATGCCACGTGTCGTTGTACGTCGGTCAACATTTCGGGCCAGTAATAATACCGCTGCAGCTGCTGCCGTGTTTTTTCTACTCCGAAATGCCCCGAGGTAACTCCGTCGTGTGCCTCCTGTAACAGTAATTCCCGTAGCAGTGTATACACAGGCACCCAAATGCGGTCAGTCCCGGCTTTTACGTAATAGACTCCCCTTACTGCTGTGAACTGCTGCGAATTTCCTCCTGTGATGAATGGGTCCGTTTGGTACCCGTGGGTAAATAGGCCTGTCAGTAGGGGGCTGGTCTGGGCGAGTAGTATTGCATGGATCTGGGCAGTGGGGCGGGTCAGTGCGTTGGCGATGTTCGAGGCTCCTTTTTTGTAGGTGACCGTGTAGTGAAAGTTTGACTCGAGGAAGTCGAGCCAACGAATCTGTCGTGGGTTGAGGTGTGGCTGTGCGCGGAGGTACTGTAGCGATTTATGGTCTGTCCGTACTGTCACGTCTGCGCCGGTCGAGTAACAGCGCCACACTTTGAACGTGTGCACGATTGCAAGCATTTCGCGGTCGTGCATCGGGTAATTTTTCTCGGGCGGATGCAGTTTTCGTGACTCGTATGCGATGGGCTGTAGGCCGTTGCCGAAGTCCTGTAGCAGTACGGCTCCGATGGCGATGTCGCTGGCATCAGTAACTACTTCGAATGGGCGGTGTGGGTCAGCGATGCACAGGACGGGTGGTGAACAGAGAACAGTTTTAAGGGCAGAGAAGGCAGCATGCTCTTTCTCCCCCCACGTAAAAGCGACCCCCTTCCGCAATAAATCCGTCAGTGGGGCAGTTAACCGTGCCATATCGGGGACGAACCGACGCACATAATTAACGAACCCTAAAAAGCTTTGCAGCTCCGTGATGTTCGTCGGGGGATGCCACGCTTTTACCGTATCCAGCTTCTTGGGGTCGATTTCAACCCCAGCCTCCGAAATAACGTGCCCCAAAAATTCTAACCTGTCCTGGAAGAACTCGCACTTGGAACCCTTGGTCAGTAATCTGTGATCGTCTAAAACCTTAAATACTGCTTCCAGATCTGCTAAGTGCTGCTGCTTATCCCGACTGTAAACTAGGATGTCGTCGAGGTAAACGATCACACATTTATCTAAGAGCGGCCTAAACGCCTCGTTCATGGTCATCTGAAAAGTCGCCGGTGCGTTGGTCAGCCCGAATGGCATTACAGTGTACTCGAACGACCCGTACCTAGTCCTGAAAGCTGTTTTGGCGCAGTCCGATGGTTCGACCCTAATCTGATGGTAACCTCCCCGTAAATCTATTTTCGAAAAAACCTGTGCTGTTCGCAGTTGGTCGATCAGTTCGTCGGCGCGGGGAATGGGGTACCGCGACTTGACTGTTACCCTGTTCAGTGCTCTGTAGTCGATACACATGCGAAAACCCCCATCTTTTTTTTGTGTGAACAGTATCGGTGCGGCGAACGGTGACGAGCTCGGTCGGATGAATTTTTTCTCTAACAGGTAATCTAACTGCTTCCTTAGTTCGTCGAGCTCGGGCTGTGTCAGTCTGAACTGGCGCTGTACAGTTGGCTGTGCCCCCGGTTCCAATTCGATTCGGTGGTCATGTGCTCGCTGAGGTGGCAGTCCTTCCGGTAAGTCGTCGGGGAAAATCCCGGGGTATCGTTTCAACAGTTCCTGTAGTTCGGGCGGTACTGCTGCAAGCAGTTTCCTGAAATCACTCGGCTGCTCTGCTCCCTCTACTACTGCGATGTCTACTGCGTACACGTCAGCTCCAGCAGCGACAGCCCGTTTCATTGTGATGGCGTTGACGTGTACCGTTGAAGACTCGGGCGACTGCCAGCGAGGTAGCTCGACCCAGTTACCACTACTTCGCACGGTGCAGCTACCCGTCGTCCAGTCAATTCGCGGGTTATATCGTCGCAGCCAATCACGTCCCAGTAAAATATCGTTCCCATCTAGTGTCGTTGCGAGCATTTCCTGTGTAAACCCGAAATTCCCCCCGCAGCGGACTTTGACTCTCTCTACCTTTTCCCGTATGGCCAGTGGCGTGCCGTCGACTAAGCGTGCGTCTATCTCCGATAAGCAACGGCTAAGTGTCAGTTGCAGTTTTCGTGCGGTTGCGGTATTGACTAAACTGTGGCTTGCTCCTCCGTCGATAAAAATCTTCACTGCTGCTCCCTGTATTTTCCCGTGGATCAGTACTGGGCAATCCGTCGCTGTACCCTCCTTATTCGTCCGAGTCCGATCGATAGCATGAATCGGTACTGTGACTCGGTGAGGGTCGGTGGGGTTGGGCGAGCAGGCACTCTCGTCAGTAGTTGGCCCGATTCCTACTGACTGCTGGCGTTTCCCTGCCTTGGAGACTCCCTCCCCTGCTCTGCTCCGCGGTGCCTTAGCTCCTCTGGGCATTCGCTCTTGCGATGGCCCAGCCTATTGCAAGCAAAGCAGCGCCCCTTAAACGGCGCGGCAGCTGCATTCGTCGCAACAGCGTGTACAGTGGCGTGCTCGATCGGTCCCCGAGGACGATGTCCATAGTAGGACCCCGGTCTCGGACGGCGTAAAATGTCGATTTTCTCGGCGAGCGCGAGAATCTCGTTGAAGTTCGAGAGCCCGCGTAGCATGACTTCGTGCGAGATGTCCGGCTTCAGCCCTCCGACGTAACGGTCCACCCGCTCCGCTTCGTGCATGTAGCCGAGTTGCTCGCATAATGCGAGAAAACCACTCGTATAGTCTTGAACCGATCCGAGCTGCCGCCAAGTGCGCAATCTCTGACGCGCCGAAATAGAAGCCGCGATCGGCTCGAAGCGCGCCCGAAGCCCTGCGCACCACGCATCCCACGTGCTGTATTGGGCGGTCTCGCAGAATGAACTCCAGGTGATAGCTGGACCCGTGGGACCTTCCTCTTGCGACGGTGGTTCGTAGGCGCGTGGCGATGTCACGATGACTCGCCACCAGTCCATGGCGGGGCCCCTTAGCAGCGAAACGGCATACCGAATCTTCGCTGCATCCGACTCGACGTAATTCGCGTCGAAGAAGACGTTCATCGTGAAGACCCACGATTGAACCGTCGGACCTCCACACTGGCTCGGGTCGAAGCAGGGCGGGCGTTGCGGCTTGAGTGGCATTGGTACTATAATGGCCTGTTCGCCACTTGTCGCCGCGAACTCCACGTGCCGACGGGCTTCGCGAGGCTCCCGCGGGCTTGGTGCGACCCTGTTTCCTCCCATGCCATGCATCGGCTGGGCGGCGCCATTGGTGGCTGCGCCTGAGCGCTGTCCCACGCTGTTGTTTTGTGTTGGTGTGCCGGACGAGATGACGATCGGCTCGTCCGATTGTGCAGATGCATTTGTCGGTGCGTGCGGTGGCGCTGGATTGTTCATCGTTGATTGCTGACGCGCGGAGTCACGTTTCGCCGTGAGCGTCGCAATCTCGAGCGTCGAATCTTCAAGTTGGCGCACCAGACGGTCGAGCTGCTCCTGCGTCAATGTGGCGAGTGTGAATTCGGCCATGGCGGGGGTGTCGGGCGAGCTCAGCGAGAGCCTCGGTCGTGGCCGTGCGTGCTTACGAAAGAGCACTACGAGCGGCGGTGCTGTGTCGCTGAGAGACGTCTACCCCCCCAAAAATTTGAGATAGTGGGGAAGCGAAGGTGTGGGTGCGGTCCGAGAAGAGATCGTAGGCTCTGAATACCAAGTGTTACGAGTGCAATTGAGTGAACGAACGAGAATTGCACTATCGAAGCAAGAGTACAATGAGCGGAGGCATGAGCGAAGGATATATAGCGAAACTACAGTGGTAACGGTAATGGACTGTGGTTGTCGCGTGAGGGGCCTGGGACTGAGGTTGGGAAAAGTGTCGAAGCGGAAGCCCGGAGCGCAGGTTACCCGCCGAGCCGTGAGGTCGGGGTGTGATGTGCGAAGGTGGCGGGAGGATTGTCGATGCGAGGGTTGCGAGTGGTAACGGTGCTGACTGTGGTGCTACAGTGATGTACGCGTTGAGCAGGGATGCGAAGTAAGGAAAAGGAATTTTCCTTACATCTGTACAGAATACACATATAGCGAATTTGCAGCGACAGAAACTGAAATGGAAATGCAGACCACCTGGGTTTTTGTTCCCTGAAGCGTATTCACAGAATGCGGTTCACGAAGGTCAGAAGATCATCCAAGATCGTGTCAGATCGGTGTCCAGGTGGTGTCATCTCGAAGTCGCTGTGAGCCTGGACAACCGTATTGAAACTCGAGCCTGCCACCTGCAAGTCAAATCAAATTCCTAAAAGCGCGCTCTAGATCTCCGATCTGCGGAATACGCCCTTCAAACCTGAAACTCGCAAGCTAGATTCGCAGGAATTCGCCTGCTCGATCTGTGAGAATTGTGATCGCGTGTTTTGTTTTGCAGAACGCAAATCTTCCTCACCACCACCGTAGCCTGGGGCGAGATGCAGAACCTTCACGTGGAGGACAAATTGCCCAGAGACGAATACGCGAAGCTGGGGCGTGATAATGCGGAGCTGCAGATGAAGGTGAAGGGACTTAGGGAGGAAAACGCCGGTCTCAAGGAGGAAAACGCTCGTATGAAAATCATCAACGCTCAGCTCAAGGCGGAAATAAGAGCTTTCAAGCTCGCTGTTGGAATCAGAATGGACGATGCGAACGCCGCTGCGGGAGGCGTCGGGTCGTCGATAGCCTAGTCCAAATTTCCATTTCGTTTTCTGGCGACCATTCTCGTCGATTCTGGCGACCATTCTCGTCGATTCTGGCGACCATTCTCGTCGATTCTGGCGACCATTCTCGTGCGGTACTACACCATGAGCAATCCCCGAGTTTCGCGGAGCAGCGCCAGCGTTTTCCGCGGTTCGTTCCTTCAGCTCGTCTCCCGCATCCCCCTCGCGCTCATCCTCTGCGCCGCTGTTCTTCCGCGCGCCTGCGGCGATGCTCCCACATCATGTTCCGCCAGTCATTCTCCCCCCCATTCCCCCGCGCGCGGCAGCTGTTCCGCCTCTACTGACGCTGAAGGCTTCCCGCGCTATGCTGCGCCAGTGGGGGAAGCGCCAGCGGGGGAAGCGCATGTGGGCGGAAAGCCAGTCGGGGGGGAAGCTGGGATTGGCGGAGCAGAAGGGGACTCAGGGGAACTGTGGGGGAGCAGTGGAGGGGGCAGCGGAAGGAGGATGGAGGAAGAATTTGGTTGGCTGTTGGATGATGCTGACGTGGACGCGGATGGGGTTGAGGGAGGGGAGAACGAGGAGGATGTGACAATAAGAACGAGGGAGGGTGACAGTAACGAGGAGGAGGAACAGGATAGTTATCCAAGTCCTGAACTCTTGAAGGAGTCCGGATTCATGGAGTATCTTGATTGGCTGCGAGACAACGGAGTGGAGGGTGACGTGGCAGCTCCTGGTAGCCCTGTTCGCGTGAGTGAAACATTGTAATCCTTCATTGTAATCCTTCATTGTAATCCTCTCTGGATCTGATTTTCTTTTTCTGACTTTGCCATTTTTGTTTCGAGCTGACACTTTTTTCTATAAAAATCTTAGTTCGATGAGTCCTGGTTTGGCGGTGTTTCCTCTCGCAGCTCAAGATTCTGAGAATAGAAATGGCTGCACAAGAGGAGGACGAGGAGGAAGGGGAAGAAGAAGAGAGAGCAGACAACGACCCACCAGAGTACAGGTATTGATCAATCATTACCATTTAACAAGGTGACTTTTGAGTCGACTCAAATGTCACCCCAGAGCAGACAACGACGACCCACCGGACCGGAGTACAGGTATTGGTCAATCATTACCATCTGCCGCACATCGCATGCTAGTGCTGGTCAGTGATTCCCGTTGCTGGCCTGGCTTCTCAGGACCATCCCATCCCATCCCATCCCATCCCATCCCATCCCATCCCATCCCATCCCATCCCATCCCATCCCATCCCATCCCATCCCATCCCATCTCATCCATCCATGCAATGGCGTGGCTTGGTTTTCGTCCATCCCTCGCACACACGCAGGTACCAACCATCACTGCAGTCAGCACGCGCCATTCCAAAAGGCCAGCGCCTCTTCTCCATTCCCCTCCGCCTCACCCTCTCCTCCTCTGAAATGTCTCACCGGTAACTGCATTTGTAACCCTCCCAACCTCTCTTCACAGGTACCAACCATCACTGCAGTCAGCACGCGCCATTCCAAAAGGCCAGCGCCTCTTCTCCATTCCCCTCCGCCTCACCCTCTCCTCCTCTGAAATGTCTCACCGGTAACTGCATTTGTAACCCTCCCAACCTCCCTTCGCAGGTACCAACCATCACTGCAGTCAGCACGCGCCATTCCTAAAGGCCAGCGCCTCTTCTCCATTCCCCTCCGCCTCGCCTTCTCCTCCTCCGCCTGCTCATCTTCCTCTTCGTCCTCCCCTCCTGAGCTTTCACCTGAGGGCTATCTGGCGGGTTGTATACTGCTGCAAGCAGCTGCAAGAGGAGAACGGGCGACAGAGAGCCCATCTTGGGCGGCAGAGGGATTGTCTTGGGCGGCACTGGCAGGGGCGCTGCTGCCGTCCGTGAGTCTGGCGAGGCCGCTGCCTCTCATGCTGGATGACGACCTGCGCATGGAGCTCAGCTACAAGCCGTTGATCGACAGGGTAAGACGAATCTACACCGTTCATTGACAAGGTGAGACGATTTTGAATCGTGGACGGCTAGGTGACGCTTGGTTGACAGGGTGAGTGAGACAAAGCTGAGGCACCTTTTGAGGCGCCTCAAAAGGTGACTCTTGGTTGACAGAGTGAGTGAGACAAAGCTGAGGCGCCGAGCCTAGTTTTGAGTCAACTCATAACGTTGAGCAGGCTGATGTGGAGTGGAGTGGATCACTGTCCTTTTTTTGAGTCGACTCGAAATTAACCTATCTAGACAAAGCTGAGGCGTTGAGCAGGCTGATGTGGAGTGGATCACTGTCAACGTGGCTGAGGCGTTGAAAAAAAAAGGAATCTGCCCCTCCACGTGTGCCATACTCCCTTCTTGTTCCCTCTGTCACCCTGTGGGCCTTATTCCTGCCAGCTAGACAAGCAGGTGGAGCAGTACCAAGACGAATACGACGCATGGGTAAACGCCACTCTGACCCGATCTGCCTCCTCTGTACTGTACCCCCTGTGTGTACCCCCTCTGGGCCCCATCATTGCCAGCTAGACCAGCAGGTGCAGCAGTACCAAGATGAATACGACGCATGGGTAAACGCCACTGTCAGCCAGTGTACCGCAGATAACATGGACATGTCTTTTGACAGCTTTCTTCAAGCTGTCGCTGCTGCTCTCTCCTTGTCCCTGCCGCTGCCCCAAGCTCCACCGCCATCGGCACCTGAGAGTTCACCTGACAGTCCACCTGACAATCCACCTGCCGCTCTGGGGATAGTGCCCTTGCTGCACCTCATGAGCCGCCCTGCTCCTGTCCAGCCAACAACAATGGGAGCAACAGCTCCAGCAGCAGGGAAGGTGGAAGCTCCAGCAGCAGGGAAGGTGGAAGCTCCAGCAACAGCAGCACCGGCGACAGCAGCGGCAGAATCAGCAGCGGCAGGGGTGGCAGCACAAGCAGCAGCAGTGACAGGTGCAGCTGGGGGTGGTGGAAGCAACGTGCAGTGGCAGGTGGGTGAGGGATGGACGGGGAAGGGGGGATGAAGGGAAAGGCGAGGGGGATGAGAGGGTGGGGTCACAAGGATGGGTGGATAGAATGCTCACAAGGATGGGCGGATAGAATGCTCACAAGGATGGGCGGATAGAATGCTCACAAGGATGGGCGGATAGAATGCTCACAAGGATGGGCGGATAGAATGCTCACAAGGATGGGTGGATAGAGGGACATAAGAGCAAATTGCTGATTCTGATAGTAGTCAGTGGTGACAGGTTGACTCATGACTCACCACTCCTTCATTCCCTTTCTTTCTGCCAACCACACACACCCATCCTCCCTTCCATGCAATGCAGGTGTCTAGCGATTCAATCAAGGTGTATGCCAGCGAGGATATCCCGGCACAAGGGAAGTCACTTTTAACTAATCTCATGTGCTCCTTTCTTCAAATATTCCCATCGCCCCTTCCATGCAATGCAGGTGTCTAGAGATTCAATCGAGGTCCTCGCCAGCGAGGACATTCTGGCGCAATTGGAGTCACTTTTAACTATTCTCACATGCTTTTTTCGCGCAATGCAATGCAGGTGTCTAACGATTCAATCGAGGTCTTCGCCAGCGAGGACATTCCGGCACACTCTCCTCTCGTCCTCGCCCCAACGCCAACGCCCACCACTCCTACTCAACAAACAGACACAGACATGAATGCTGCAGCACTCCTACCTCCATCTCCACCGCATCTGCTCTCTAACGACGATGTTTACATAAGCACTGGTACTGTTCCGCAGGACACGGCTTTGGACCGGGTCCTTCTCTTCCCTTCTCTCGCCCACGCCCTCCGCTCCTTCTCTCTCGCGTTTCCCTCCACTGGCCTGCCCGCTAAACTGCCCGAGAAAGAATTTCAGAAGCAGGCAGCGACGCTGGAGAACCGTGTCGTTCGGGCAGTTCTGGAGGTGAAGAGAAATGTTTTAAGCGCTGCCCGAGGGGTTGGAGGAGACACAGATGGCATGACGGGTGGCAATTGGTATGGGATGGAACAGATGTGGTTCTGGGAGATGCGGCGACAGAAGCAGCTTGAGCACCAGAGGAGGAAGAAGGAAGGAGAGAAGCACCTGGTGATGGGCATGGAACAGGAGGAGAACGACAAGGAAGAAAAGGAGGATTCAGTGGCAGGGGGGGTGGATGCAGAGGGGCTCTTTGCATATCCTGAAGGGCGGATTGACCCTGAGCTCCTCGCTTTCCTCACTGCCCTCGCCTACATGCGCTCCACCGGAACAGGTGAGGCACAGCTTTGCTTGAAAAAGAGGGAGTGGAGTTGTGTGTGGTGCAGGTGTCAGAGGTGGGTGTGGCAGGGGAGACCTTTGAGTCGACTCAAAAGTCACCTCGAAAAAGAGAGAGTAGAAGTGTGTGTGGTGCAGGTGTCAGAGGTGGGTGTGGCAGGGGAGACCTTTGAGTCGACTCAAAAGTCACCTCGAAAAAGAGAGAGTAGAAGTGTGTGTGGTGCAGGTGTCAGAGGTAGGTGTGGCAGGGGAGATGAATATGGTATGGATCCAGACGGCCTCTTTGCGTACCCTGAAGGGCGGATCGACCCTGAGCTCCTTGCTTTCCTCACTGCGCTGTGAGACCCGGTGCTGTTACAAGCCAAAACCACTGGACAGGTTTTTATGATTGTTGAAACCATTACGAAACCCAAACCCAAAATCAGGTTTTAACCCTTTCCTCTTCTTTGGGCCTTATCGGAAGCCCAGCTGGCGTTTCATGCTTTTCCGGCCTGCCATCACACCCCCTGTCTGCACGCTACCCATCTCTATAGTGATTCCGTTCTCCACACTCCACATTCATCTCCCCCCTTCCCACATCCAGAGCCCGACCCAGCACTGGTAGCGCGGGTGAGCGTGGCAGTGGCGTGGAATCTGGACGCCACCACCACCTGCACGCACATGCCTCCGCTCTCCCTCCCCTCCCACCCGCTCTACCTCCCCCTCTCCTCCTCCTCCTCCTCCTCCTCCTCCTCCTCCTCCTCCTCCTCCTCCTCCTCCTCTCCATCCTCATCACCCTCCCGTTACTCCTCAACCAATTACATACCGCCATCTGTCGCCAACCTGTTACCAGCACTGCGGGCGGCAGCAGGCATGCTAAGGCGGCTGGTCGAGAAGCTTCTGGGCGGCTTCTCCTCGTCTGTGAGCGAGGACGAGTTCATGCTGACGTCAGCAGCCATCTGCAGGCGCTACCGCGATGCTGAGCGGCTGGAGGAGGCCCCATCCGGGGTAGGTGCTATCTGGCCCCATGTGGGGTAGGTGCTATCTGGCCCCATCCGGGGTAAATGTTCCCTGTCAGGCCCCATCTCTGGAAGAGTATTCTCTCCTTCCTGTCTGCTCCCCTCATCCTGTCGCCCCTGCACAGCTCTGCCTGCCGTGGTTCATGGGAGCACTGGACGAAGTACAGCAGGTTCTGCAAGTATACCCGCCCCCACATATCGCCTCGCCTCTCCCTCCCCTCTTGTGACCCCTTTTCAGCTCTGCCTGCCGTGGTTCATGGGAGCACTGGAGGAGGTACAGCAGGTGCTGCAGGTGCTTCAGTTCTACCCCCACCCACGTGTCCCCCCCAACCCTCCTTCGCCCCCACAGCTCTGCCTGCCGTGGTTCATGGGAGCACTGGAGGAGGTACAGCAGGTGCTGCAGGTGTTTTCTTCCCCACATACCACCTCCTGCTCCCACTCTTTCCCATCTCTCACCCCCCCTTCCCCACAGCTCTGCCTACCGTGGTTCATGGGAGCACTGGAGGAGGTGCAGCAGGTGCTGCAGGTGCGGGCCAATAAGAAGCGGTTGCTCATCGACGCCTCTGATTGGCTGCTGCTCGCCTGCGACCCCAAATACGACCTGCGATTGGACGAGGCAGCAACTGAAGGTCCTGCTACCAGGGGTGCGAGGAGAAGAGGTGGCGGGGGGGAGCAGCATCAGGAGGCGGAGGAGGAACAGGAGGAGAGGAGCGATGAGGAGAAGCTGAGGGTGTTTTTGGAGTGGGTGCGGGCGAGGGGGATCCCCGACTTTGGCAAGCCGCGGTCCACCTTCGAGGTGCTCCTTATTCCCGATTGAGTCATGATAACTCGCTACTTGCTATGTTATCACGTGATAAAGGCACTTTTCTGCCTCACCTGAGAGGCGCCTTTAAGGTTCTAGTGAGAATTCTTAAAGGTTTCTCAGAGGTAACGGGGTATACGGGTATTCATCGCAACCGGGTCGTTTTGTCTTAATTGATTTCAGGGTCTCCGCAGCAGGAGCTCATATTCCCTCCTGCGGCATTTCAATCTGTTGCGATGCAAACCTGTTTCACCTGTTCCTCCTCCCTCCGCTCCTCTCTCAGGTGCACTTCTGCGAAGAACCCAACAACTCAGTCCCCGATGGGGCGAGATAGCCCCTCATATTCTCCTTCCCTCAAAGCGACTCTTGTGTCGACTCAGAAGTCACCTTGTCCACCATTCCTCTTCCATCCTCTCAATCACATCCCCACCTTGTCCACTTCAATAACATCCTCTCTCAGGTGCACTTCCGCCAAGAGTCCAACAGCTCTTACTCTCCTTCTCTCAAAGCGACGCGTCGACTCAAAAAGTTATTTGTTCTACCTCTACTTCTCTCCTTCCCCTGTCAGGTGCAATTTCGCCAAGAGTCCAACAGCTCTTACTCTCCTTCTCTCAAAGCGACGCGTCGACTCAAAAAGTTATTTGTTCTACCTCTACTTCTCTCCTTCCCCTGTCAGGTGCAATTTCGCCAAGAGTCCAACAGCTCTTACTCTCCTTCTCTTCAAGCTCACGGGGAGTTCACGGCCTCCTTGCTGCAGGCCAAAGCACGGTCCAGGTGAGCCTTGTTGTGGAATTATCTCAAACGAGTCAGCAACTCCGTCTCCTCTCCTGGCTACTTTTGAGTCGACTCAACTCAAGTATAGCCTCATCATCACACGCGAATCACATGATGCGTGGAACTTAGCCTCCTCTCCTGGCTACGTCAAAGCACTTCTGAACGTACCTCCTCTTCCTGTTTCTCTCCCGCCCCTCTCGTTCTCCGCCTACCCAACTCGTCATCCCCACTCCTTACCCCTTCGACTCAACCCATCTCCTCTCTATGAAGCAGCCGACGGTGGTGGCAGGGCAGTGGAGGAAGAAAGGACAGCTGTTGCTCTCCATCACTCGCGCCCTCTGGGTGCCCACCCACACCATGGCGGAGGAAGGAGAAACCTCTCCTGCTATCGAGGAGCCTTTGAGTCAACTCATAGAGCTTCCTCGTCCTGTTCTTTCCCCCCCAAACCCCCTCTCTTTCTCTCTCTCCCTACGCTCAGCTCGTCACCTCTCTAGGAAGCAGCTGACAGTGGTGGCAGGGCAGTCGAAGAAGGAAGGACAGCTGCTGCTCTCCATCCATCGTGCCCTCTGGGTGTCAACCCACACCATGGCGGAAGAAGCAGCTCCCTATGCTAACAGCAGCATCCTAGCCAACCCTGAGTGAACCCTCTTTCCCTCCCATCCTTATCCACCCCCCTTTCTCTCTGTCCCCTCAACTCGTCTTCATGCCCCCCTCTCTTTCCGTCTCTCAACACCCAAACCATCACCTCTCTAGGAAGCAGCTGACAGTGGTGGCAGGGCAGTCCAAGAAGAAAGGCCAGCTGCTGCTCTCCACAAAAGTGACTTCTGAGTCCAGTCATATTACCTCCCCCCCCACCTCTCTCTCACTCCCTACCCTCAACCCATCACCTCTCTAGGAAGCAGCTGACAGTGGTGGCAGGGCAGTCAAAGAAGAAAGGACAGTGCCAGCTGCTCCTCGCCATTCCTCGCCATTCCTCGCCATTCCTCGCGCCCTCTGGGTGTCGTCAACTCACACAATGGCGGAAGAAGCAGTACGCTCTCCCTCGAGGAGCCTTTGAGTCAACTCATACAACGTCCCCACTTTTTCCGTATGCTGAACCCGTCGCCTCTCTAGGAAGCAGCTGACAGTGGTGGCAGGCCAGTCGAAGAAGAAAGGACAGCTGCTGCTCTCCATCCCTCGCGCCCTCTGGGTATCAACTGACCTTATGGCGGAGGAAGCAGCGCCCTACGCCAACCCTGTGTGGACGCTTTCTGCCGGAGCTGCCTGGCTGCTTCGGGAGCAGGCTCGGGGGCGAGGCTCGGAGTGGTGGCAGTACCTGCAGATCCTGCCGGCCTACGTGCCTCTGCCGTACCTGTTTGATTCTGCCACGCTGGACGAGCTACAGTCACCCTCGTTTGTGGAACGCGTATGTTGGAGAGAGTTTTTGAGTCGTCTCAAAACAACAAAAACTCACTCATTTCACCGTCGTTTTTGGAACGCGTATGTAGGAGAGAAAACAACGACACCCTTCCCCCCAGGACCCACCCTTCCCCCCCCCTTCCCCACTTCCTGGCTCACAAGTTTTTGTTCCTTTCTTCCCTTGCAGCCTTTTGTGCATCTCCAACCTTTCTTCCAGTCTTTGTCATCAATATCCATTCCTGCCGCCCTCACCCCATCAGATCCGCATGGTTCGTGAGCACTAAGAACAACAGTACAAACTTTGCCGCCCCCGTTAGTTACCCTAACAGAAGCCCGATTCTGTTTTCCCTCGTCCCGCAATCGTATCCCGCCCCACCAGATCCGCATGGTGCGAGAGTACTACGAGCAACAGTACAAACTTTGCCGCCCGCCAGCCATCGCCTTCGCCTCGCTCCACCAATTCCTCTGGGCGCTCGCCATCATGAACTCCCGAGCCTTCTCTACCCCCGCACCTGGCCGCCGAACCTCCGCCGAGCCTCACACCAACGGCCACAGTGCTAGCAGTGACACCTCAGGCTTTCCTCAAGAGGAAGAGAGGGAGCAAGAGAGGGAGCAGGAGAGGGGGAGGGGGGGAATGTTGGAGCAGCTGATGGCACTGCCTGCGTCTGAGAGGCGGCAGTTTGTGGGCGAGCCCATGGCTCTGGTGCCCATTGCAGAGCTGATCGACCACCACCACCCGCACAACGCCCAGTACAAGGTGTGTGCGCCGTTCTATAAGCTTTTGTTTGAGGCGCCTCCCACACTGTTTGTGGGCGAGCCCATGGCTCTGGTGCCCTTGCTGAGCTGATAGATCATCACCACCCCCACAACGCCCAGTACAAGGTGTGTGTGCTGATCTTCCCATGTCCTTATTCATTGTAGCCTTGTCTATACACATCATATGACATATTCCCATTTTTGTGCTCATCAACCACCACCACCCGCACAACGCACAGTACAAGGTGTGTCACTCTACAACATTGCACTATGAACTTTTACTATACCTATATTACATAACATAGTGCAAGGTTTTATAGTCATATTGTGTATACCTGTATATACGAAGTATAAACATACATGTATATGTATGCAAATGTATTATCTGCATATGTAAACATCTTAGGTTATTTCTTTACAACAACAAAGCATATGAAGCAACATACGTGCCATATGATCGCATAGTGTAGTAGTTCATTTTGTAGTGAGTATCATTAGTTCAAGGTGGGCGTTTTGATAAGGCAAGCACTTTTTGCCATCCCGTCATGCCATCCACCCCCCTATCACCCCACCAGGTGCAGCAGAGCAGTTTTGACTTCTACGCCAGGGAGGAGGTTCAGCGCGGTGCAGAGCTCTTCACAGTGTACGGGTACAAGCCCAACCACCACCTGCTTCTGGGATACGGCTTCGTGCTCGATGACAATCCCTATGACCACGTCCGGCTCTTCCCGAACCTCTCCCGAGCCATCCGAACCGTAGCCTCGGTGGTCTACCACCAGGAGGGGCAGGATGTGGGGAGAGGGATGGGGAGAGGGAGAGACGGGGAGGTTCGTCCAGGGGAGGTGGATCTGAGGGCGGGTTTGCTCCATGTGTGGGGCACGGGGGACTCCTTGCTGCTTCCAGGAGACAAGGAATTGGGTGTGGGAGGAAAGGTGGGCATGCGAGGAGAAGGGGTTGCGGTGCGTGTGATGTGGCAGGCGACAGCAACAGCGGTGGGTGAAGTGGTGAAGGCTCGAGAGCCTGGGGGGACGTATGCTGAAGGGAACAGCTTGCCACAGCTGCAGCTGCGGCAGCAGATAGAAAAGCGTAGTGCAAGGGAAACGAGGGAGATTAAAGCGGAGCATCGTAGTGGCACAAGCACAGAGCGTACAAAAGAAGTCCTTGTAAAGGAGGTGCTTCTAAAGGAGGTGTTTGTAAAGGAGGAGGACGAAGGCGTGGGAGTGTCTGTGTGGGCGGGCGGCATAGTGGAGCCAAATCTGCTTGCTGCCCTCGCTGCCAGCTGGCGCGCCGTCCACATGTCACAACGTGAGTAGCTGAAGCGGCACAGATGTGAACACAGTACAGTACGGCGTGTGTCGTAGCATATGGCCCATGCAACAACCATTCTCTCTCTCCATCCCTCTATTCTGCATCTCCATCTCATCCTCCTCTCCCAGTTTTTAAAACAATCTCAACCTGCCTGCTCTTTCCTGCCCCACCTTCTCAACCTGCTGTTTCCTCCCATGCTGTCCCCACAGGCCCAGGCACTTCAGGCCCAGTCTACACATCCCGGGCCAGTGCTGCCTCCTCTACGGCTGGGCCCTCTCCACCTCCTCCTTTCACCACCTTCTGCCAAGCGCCTCTTCCTTTAGGCGTCTCAACACTCCATCTCTCCCTGCTGTTCCCCTCCATTCCTTTCCCCATGTGCAGCCTCCCCTGACCCACACCCAGACTACACATCCCTGGCCAGTGCTGCCATTCATTACGGCTGGGCCCTCTCCACCTCCTCCTGCCACCACCTCCTCCCAATCGGTTCCTCCTTCACACCTGCTTTAAAAGCTGCTGCTGAAACGGTCCGGCTCTTTGCCGAGGCTCGGTTGAAGCAGTTCCCAACGAGTTTGGAAGAAGATGAGGCGGTGCTGGAGGAGCTTCGAGCATGTGAGTCGGCAGGGCGTGCAGGGTTGAAGGTGGAGGGTTGGTGTGAGGTGGTGCTGCCGGTGGTGGAGGAGAGGATTACGGCCGTTCGGTTTAGGATGCACAGGAAAAGGGTTCTCAAGGATGTGGCAGCACGATTGCGAGAAACTTGCTCTTGGGACATCAGCAAGACAGATGTGGTTCGATAGTAACGTGGCGTGGCTATAGAGTCTGGATGGTGTTTACAAGGAATGTTGTTTTGTAACACGTGATATCCTAAATATAAAATTTTCCACAAAGAAAATGAGAACATGCGAACAGTGTATTGTGTTCCCTTCCCACATCACCAAGCACTGCTAGCTGAATAATATGTTTATGCTAAAAATACAGATAGTTATTCCATGGACAGAGGTGTACAGTTTAGGATCAATCTGGATTTGTGTGGATGAAGGTCCCAGTGTTGGCGAAGCAGTTCGCAGAACCCCTCCGCGTAGCCCTGCGATGCAGTTTCCCGTGGTCATCACCGAACCCAGAAGTCGCAAGAGGCAGCCAGTCGTATGAGGCGTGTACTGTCCTCGGTGCGTGTCAGATCCGCCGCTGGCGATAGCAGCAGGTTCTGCGACTACAGTCAAAGCTTCAATCAGTTCCCTCTCATCCTTCCCATCCTTTCCAGCTTTTCCTCCAACGCTTTCCCCCTGCAGCCTAAGCATCTGGTATCCCTAGGATCTGTGAACCCGTGTGCTTCGGCCTGCAGGCTTAAACTGTTCTCGTCATATTACTTGGCAGATTCTTCGTCGTCGCCTTATTGCCGGATTTTATATTAGTTTCGGCTGGGGGAGGGCCCGCGATGGCCTCGAAAAGGATTCTTAAGGAGCTGAAAGATCTTCAGAGAGACCCTCCTACATCATGCAGTGCAGGTCCAGTTGCCGAAGACATGTTTCATTGGCAAGCGACAATCATGGGTCCTCCAGATAGTCCTTACGCCGGTGGCGTCTTCCTGGTTACCATACACTTTCCTCCCGACTACCCTTTCAAGCCTCCCAAGGTACGATCTGAAATCCGCGTGTATTGAATCGCGACGTTTGATCTGTATTGTTGGCCGTTTAGTTACCATATGGTTCTTCGCAGGTACCCTAAATCTGTGTGTAATGAATCGCAACGTTTGATCTGTATTGTCTCCCGATTAGTTACCATATGGTTCTTCGTGGTTACCCTCTTAAGTCATTTTCGGCAGTCCCTGTCGTCAATCATGGTCATCTGGGCTTGTTGTCTGGGAATTCTTCAGTCTCAACATTACCTTCTGTCGCTCCATTACGCTGCAATATTGCAGGTCGCCTTCAGGACGAAGGTGTTTCATCCCAACATCAACAGCAACGGGAGCATTTGCTTGGACATTCTGAAGGAGCAGTGGAGTCCGGCCTTGACCATTTCTAAGGTAGTTAAATGAGGCTTTTGTTCGATGTTGTCACAATTTGGTGTCCTTTTCTAATATTTGCTTTTGTCCTTCGCAGGTACTTTTGTCGATTTGCTCCATGTTGACGGATCCGAACCCAGATGATCCTCTGGTTCCTGAAATCGCGCACATGTATAAGACAGACAGGCAAAAGTATGAAGCAACCGCACGTACCTGGACAGCCAAGTATGCCATGGGCTAGCCACAAAACGAGGGGGTCTTCCCTCTCTTTTGTACATCCAAGCCCCTAGTTTCTGCATCAGTCATCCTACGAACAGTCTTTCCTCTGCTCTCCTGTTGGACCATCAACGATCAAGCAGAATGGCCTGACATCATTTCTCCATCCCATCCTCTTGAGGCTGTTATTTGAAACGTGCTGTATGAGATGTGATATGATTATGGAGGTAGACGAGCTAGTTTAGATGGTATTATCTTGAGGCAGCCATGGAGAGCTTGTTGATTCAAACTATTTGCAGTGGAGGAATGCATGCAGAGCTTGGGTCGTTGTCAAATGCATTTGGTGTCATCTGAGGTGTGGGGATGGCATCCAGACCAGAAGGTTTGCCAGCCAGAGATGAGTATAAAGTGAGTTTGCCGCAAGTGAACGCTATTCATGCCTCAAGTCAACTGGAAATTTATAATGTTATGTTCTTCTAAACTACAATACACGGCACAAGGTTTGCTTGAGAGTTACGGGAGTAAACATGCACAAGAAGAGGTTGCATAGTCGTTTGATGGAGGTAGGAGTTGTATTCTCCTCAAGGAGAAAATGCAAACATAAAGGCAGTAGTCTTCTGCTAGAGAACACGTTTTAGCATTTTCACCCACTTCCAACAAAGCGTATGCTTTGTTTGAATGTGCCACGTCATAGAAGTGATGTGGATGGTCACCATGAATTGTCCACCCCATGCCCCACGCTGGCGTCCCCCAATCAAGGACTTGTACATCACCGAGGCGCGCCAATAACCTCGGAATCTCCCTGCCCTTTCACTGGAAGGCCTGAGATCTCTTCGCGAACAATACCGTCGCGACCCTCTTAATCTCAGCAAATCGCGTGCCTTTCTCCCACCTTGTCAGCTGTCGCGAATCTCGCAGCACCGAAGACTTCTTTCGCAAAGGCTCTGGGCCAAGGCATTATGGCTGTGGAGAATCTTTCGTTGGGCTTGACTATGCACGCATCCGTTTGGCTGCGAGCTTCTGGATTCGAGCTACAAGGTGCTGCTGGTTGTGCCTTTTTCCAGTGAATCACGCCGGCATTCAAGATCTCAGGAACTCCTTCACGAAGTCGAAAGGATTCTCAAATTGTTTTGCGTCTGGTCTCATTTCTAGGCACATGGCTACCGCGAAGTATGCCACAGGCACCTGCCTTGTGGGAGCAAGCCAGCAGAACAACAAGCTCGCTAGCGCATGTCAACATAGACTTGCCTCTTCGTCGGGTGGGACCAAGATTTCTTGGAGCACTGCCGTCTCTCAACAACTTTCAGTGCAGCAAAAGAATGGCACCAGCAAATCTAAAATTTTGAAGAGGCCGGTGACACCCCGAGCTATTTCCGATTCGGAAGCGTTTACTGATGTCTGTCTTGATCCAGAGCCCAACAAGGTGCGTGCTTGGGTTAAACTGGTCGCTCCATGTCGTTTGTTTTTGTGACTTGCTTTTGTAGATCGTGTTTGGGTGTTTCCTCTCATGCAAAGCTTGGTGCTTTGTTTCTGTCACGCAGAGTGTGCTCTCGGTGATTCTGGGTGGGGGAGCCAGCGCAAAGCTTTACCCGTTGACGAAGGAGCGAGCAACGCCTGCTGTGCCGTTGGCCGCGAATTACAGGCTGATCGACATCCCCGTTAGCAACTGCTTGAATAGTGACATAGATCGGATCTACGTTCTCACTCAGGTAACTTCGGCTGCTTTTGTTACCCCACAGCGGCAGACAGATTTTAACTGGGTGAAAGGTTTTTGCTTGGTGCTTATCGCGTGCTTTTGAACATGACGTTCGTTCGTTGCAACACCAACTTCATGCTGTTCTCTCAACGTTAGCGTCCTTCATGCTTTTCGCTCAACGTTAGCTCCTTGTCTCGTTTCGCAGGTCAATTCCGCATCGCTCAACCGTCACTGCTTCACAGCATATGCGCCGTGCCTGAGTGGTTACCAGACCAAGGGCTTTGTGGAAGTGCTCGCAGCGGAGCAGAGCCCGGATAATCCAAATTGGTTCCAGGTAAGGACCCGTGGGTTTCGACTGGGACTTGAGTTTTTTAAAGAAACCAAGGAAGAGTTACAGTCGATCTTATGTAAAAAAAATAATTATCCTTTATGCTGTAACGAAGTCCCGAGCGGAAACACATCATTCAATTCTTCTGATTCTGAGTGGTGTGTTCACTTAATGACAGGGAACGGCGGATGCGGTGCGTCAGTACATATGGCTGCTGGAGGACCACAACCCGCAGGAGTATCTGATCCTCGCGGCCGACCAGCTGTACCGGTGCGATTACCGCAGAATAATCAAGTGCCACCGGAGTGCTGGTGCTGACATCACCGTCGCCGCGATCCCTGTTGACAGGTAGAGGGAATTGAATTTCAGGGATTTGATCTCGCAAGGCAGTTCTCGACTGCAAGTGCTTGTCGTTCGGGAGAGATGGTTATCTGACGGTTTTTGTTGGCTGGACTTGTTCAGAGAGCGGGCGACGTCGTTTGGGATCATGAAGGTTGATGAGGATGGGCGTGTGACTGAGTTTGCTGAGAAGCCTCAAGGAGCAGAGCTCGACAAGATGAAGGTACGAACAGTGGTCACCAACTGAAGGAATTAATTTGGCACTACCCAAGTTTTTCAATCAGCACGAGTATATTCTGTCTTGGTACCGCCTTTCATGAAAGCGTGATTGGCCTGTTTTTTTCTCACGAGAAGCTGACGCTGTAGCGTGGTTGGTTTTGATTTTGTTTGGCATGTCAGGTGGACACAACGAACGTGGGTCTGGATCCCGAGGAGGCAGCGAAGCGGCCCTTCATAGCGTCCATGGGGATCTACGTCATCAGCAGGGAGGCTCTGCCTCGCCTGCTTCTCGAGCAATTCCCAGACGCCAATGACTTCGGGCGGGAGGTCATCCCTGCTGCCTGTGCTAATGGATCCAAGGTGAGTTAACATTGAGTCAGGCTTAAGGTCATGATCAGCAGGGAGGCTCAGCCTCGCCTGCTGCTCGAGCAGTTCCCAGACGCCAGTGACTTTGGTGGGGAGGTCGTCCCTGCTGCCTGTGCTAACGGCTCCAAGGTAAGCTGAAAATGAGAAAGACTTGAAATCGTCATGAGCAGGGATAGCCTGCCTCGCTTGCTGCTCGAGCAATCCCAGACGCCAATGACTTTCGCGGAGAGGTTATTCCTGGTGCATGTGTTAATGGCTCCAAGGTTAGTCGATTGGGTCAGACTTCTCCTAACCTTTCCCCACCCCTCCCCTTCTCCCCCCACATCACTCCCCTCCCTCCCCTTCCATTCCTTTCCGTCCCTCCTATATCCATTCCCCCTGTCCCACCCCCAAAACCCATTTCCGTTCCCCTTTCTCCCTGTCTGTATCAAGTGCATCAGGTGCAAGCGTGTATCTATGATGGGTACTGGGAGGACATGGGTCAAATCAAGAGTCCCTTTTTTCCCCGTTCTCCCTGTCTGTGTGTGTCCTGCTTGCATCAGGTGCAAGCTTACATCTATGATGGGTACTGGGAGGACATTGGGTCCATTGATGCGTTTTACCACGCCAACCTCAGACTCACCAAGCCTAACCCCCCCTTCACGTGAGTCAAGTCACGTACTGATACTTTCAGTGTAATTCGAGTGTACATGAGGTGCAAACGTACTTCTATGATGGGTACTGGGAGGATATTGATTTTCTTTTATGCCTTGTATCACGCCAACCTCAGGCTCACCAACCCCAACCCCCCCCCCTTCACGTGAGAGAAATTCCACCACGATGTTTTAGTCGGGCTTAATGAAAATACACCATTCCGAGCCCTTACTTTCACATGAGTGGAATTGCGTTACAATTCTCAGTCAGGCTCGATCATGGGCTCACCAAGCTGGACCCACGGGATCCTCTCTTCGTGTTTGAGAATTCCCATCATGACCAAGTTAGTTCCCCCTTGAGGGTTCTGTCTGTCGCTGTGTCTCGCACATCGGTCGTACTCCTTGTACTGTTTCTCTCATGTGTTTAATCTCCTGGTCATTCACTTTCACGTCTTGTCTGTACCTCCTTGTAAAAACTGTGCTGTGCAGGTTCTATGATCGGTCGGCTCCCATTTTCACTCAGTCCCGCTCTCTGCCTCCTTCCAAGCTGAACAACGTTGACATTTCTGGCAGCGTTATTGGGGAAGGCTGCATCTTGCAGGTATGCACTCATTCCGTGCTCGTTGGACTTCTCCATTCCTAGTTAAATTCGCATGAGTTAATTGTCAACCTATTCGCCGCAACCACCATCCGATGCATGATGGTGGTCAGGAAATTGGGCTCCCAAAGACGTGGACTTTTTGCCTCATTAGCTATTCGCAACTTTCCTATCTATGTCACTGTATCTAATCTTTGCCACTGTCACTGTCTCTGACTCTCAGGAGTGCGCCATTCACGACTCAATGGTGGGCCTGCGGTCGATAGTTGGTGCCGGGTCATCCATCCACGACAGCTTGCTGCTAGGAGCTGACTACTACGAGGTACTTGTTCAATGATTTCTGTTAATGATTTTTTTTCCAAGTGTATTTCGCTGTCAGCTCATTCTTTTCTTACAGCTGCTCTCGGCCTGCTTATTCACAGCAGACTCTTTTCATGGATGTTGCAACTTACCCCGCTGGTCATTTGCAGGATGAGGATGAGTTGCAGAGGGTACTTGCATCTGGCCAGTTGCCCATTGGTGTTGGGCGGAATTCCGTCATCAAGGGAGCTATCCTAGACAAGAACGCGCGAATCGGAGACAACGTGCATGTAAGAATCTATTTGTGCTTTAACCACTCTCTGCTCAGAAAGGAATCAGCTTAGCTTATCTGAGTGAACCTTCCCCTGTTTGTGTTCTCTCTTCCAGATTATCAACAAGGACGGAGTTCAAGAGTCTATTCAGGAAGATTCTGGCTTTGTCATCAACAAGGGGATTGTTACCGTGTTGAGGAATGCAACCATTCCATCTGGTTCGGTCATTTAGTCAAGCTTTCATTTGAGTTGTCCAATGGAGAATAAAGTTGCGCTAGGGTATAATAGCTCGTAGACGTTTCGTGTTGTGATGCTAGTTAAGGTGTATATGGAGAATTTTTATGTTAACTAGATAAAGGAAGGGCAGCCAACTCAGCGCCCCTTCCCTCATAAATAAACATGTTTCACTAATTTCGTTGTAAATATCCAACGAAAGGTAATTTCGAATTACGCAGTAGGGAGGAAATGACAACGATGCGTCAAATGCGTGGCACACGAATGAAATACGAGATGAGCTCGGTCTGGTTGGTTGCCTGCCTAACAATCTCGTGGCTTGACAGATGCGCACGCACGATTGGGTGCTGTGCATCACATGCTTACAGCCAGCTGCGCGGCAATGACTCGGATTGGCAGGCCACTTGTAAAGCTTTGCTTCTTTGTTTGTAGACGTCCAGTAGGCGACCAGTCTTGTGGTGCTACGTTTCTGTTTGTGCTGCTGTGCTCATCGCTCATGGGCTTGCTCTCACAGGGAAATCACGGAAGGCGAAAAATCGTTGTATTCCGTGAGCAAACAGGTTGTCTCCGGGAACAGATGTGGTGTCGAAGAATCTAGCAAACGTAGCCATACGTGCAAGTTTTGGTCAATCGTGGTTCCCGTTTAGCAGGCGTTACGCAAAGGTCTGTTCTTGAACGATTCGTTAGGCGAATATGTCGTAGTTTAGCCACAGCAGAATACTTCCTTCTACTGAATTAGTGGTCTCAGTAGTGGCCTTGTGGCGACGTGAGTAGAACAGTGGTCGGAATCGCCTGGTTCACGGTTGGCGGACGGTGTTCGACACTGCGTTTGCCTGTGGCGACAATCCCGAGGGTCTGTTTACCAAGTTCCTTCTGCCCAAAAGCATCAGGAGCCCATCATCCTATCCATGGAGGCATTCGGAAGACATAACCATCAGGCGAGTCTCAGCAGCTCGTGTTTATTGTACATGTTAAAACCTATTCGTTCAGCCGAGATTACGTCTTCTTTGTTGGCACACATGATGTGACATTGACACGCACGATTGAATCTCTTCTACTCTTTCACATCCTTACCCTCCCGTCCTTTTTTTCCGTTCACGAATTGTTTCGCGTACTGGCATTCATATCAGGGCTCTCAGGGTTCGCGGCTCGCAGCCGCGTCGGCACGAGAGGAAGAGTGGGACCTGTGCGAGGATTTCCGGGAAGATCTAGGGGATGACCGCAGAGACGATCGCACAGATAGTCGCAGAGATGATCGCAGAGCTGATCGCAGAGATGATCGCAGAGATGATATCAGCGGCGAACGCGGCGGCGGTTCCCGTGGGGACGTGTGTGAAACCCTACGCGACGATTGGACCGCCGTGTGTGAACCGCCGATTCATCCTCACCACCCTCTCGATCGCTCCATAGGCGGCCCGTTGGATCAATCCGGGAGATCGCCACCGTTGATAGGAGGGGAGTCAGCGCGGATAGGTCCGGCTGCTGACACGTGTCAAGAGTCGGTGCGGATAGGCCCTGCTCCGTCGGCATCGGAGGTGGCTCACGCGGCGAGGCAACTCCACGCGAGCATTCAGTCGCTTCCCAGGTGCGCTTGATCATAAGAACGAGGTTTTACAGCTGTCTGAGGCGCGTAAGAGTTCCGGAACGTTTCAACAGGTGAAGCAGCTGCACACGAGCATTCAGTCGCTTCTTAGGTGAGAATGATGGTTGAAAAAGAAACAAGGTAGCGATCTGAGGCCTCTTAAGAAGCAAAGAACTTCTACCGCCTCCCTAGGTGAGAATCATGAAAGAAATGGAACCAAACAGGGTATATTCAGTGTTGGGAGATTTTTTGAAATGCTGTTCAACTTACGGCAGCGTTCAGTCGCTTCCCAGGTGAGATGAACTACAGAGATGGAACCAAGCAGGGTATAAGCTCAGCAGGCGATATATGCCCGCTAGGTTAGGTACACGCACAGCCGTGATCTGGTCTGGTCCATGAACAGCAAGGCAGCTCCGCACTGCACAGTGCGTTTCATTCTCAGTTGTTTCATTCTCAGTTGTTTCATTCTCAGTTGTTTCATTCTCAATTGTTTCTTGAGTCAACTTCATAAAAGGTGGCTTGCCCTGCACAATGTGCGATTTGGGACTTAGCAATGCTGAAATACCAGGGTGGAGAGGAGGGGTTCAGAGGTAGGGAAACATGACGGGCTGAGGACGCAGAGAGGTGCGGATATGATTACGAGGGGGAGGAAGGCGTGAAAATTAGATGCTGGTTCACGAATTTGGTGATTGGTCCCTGGCACGGTTACTTCTGGCTTGTCAGGTTGTTGCCTTGCCTCCCTTGCCGAGCCTGATACCAGCACTGTACCCTCCCCATTCCAACCTGCTCATTCCTGCCTGCAGCCACTCCGTGTCGGCCAATCAGCTGGTGACAGATGTGCGCAGAAGAGCCGTGCAGGAGGGCGGGCGGGACAGGCGTGTGCTGGTGGTCTCACACGCCTTGGAGCTCTTCTCTAGGGATGCAGAATTACAGGTAGGAAGGAAGGAGGATGGTATGTCTAAGCACCTTACAAGCCGCTTTAAAGGCGTGTGCTGGTGGTCTCACACGCCTTGGAGCTCTTCTCTAGGGATGCAGAGTTACAGGTAGGGCCTTATTTTTCCCCTAGCAGCTCATGAATCTCTCTCTCAGGCGTGTGCTGGTGATCTCACGCGCCTCGGAGCTACAGGTGGGAGAACTCCCTATAATCGCTTCTGGACATCCTTCCATGTCTCTCCACACAGAAAATAGCCACGTGTAGAGAGGGTGTTTTTAAGACGTCTCAAAAAAACCCTCTCTACACGCCTCGGAGCTACAGGTGGGAGAACTCCCTATCATCACTTCTGGACATCCTTCCATGTCTCTCCACACTTTTTGACACAAGAAAGAGCCCCTTTCCACCTTCTTTCTTCCCCTGCAGAGTGCAGAGACGTCAGTGGCTCGCGACCCGGCAGTGTGGGCGAATTTAGGGACGTCTCAAAACAGAGTTCCGTGTCATCCTTTCCTCTCTCTCCCTCCTTACAGAGCGCAGTGACGTCAGTGGCTCGCGATCCGGCAGTGTGAGCGAATTTAGGGACGTCTCAAAAGAGAGTTCCGTGTCATCCTTTCCTCTCTCTCTCCCTCCTTACAGAGCGCAGTGACGTCAGTGGCTCGCGACCCGGCAGTGTGAGCGAATTTAGGGACGTCTCAAAAGAGAGTTCCGTGTCATCCTTTCCTCTCTCTCTCCCTCCTTACAGAGCGCAGTGACGTCAGTGGCTCGCGACCCGGCAGTGTGAGCGAATTTAGGGACGTCTCAAAAGAGAGTTCCGTGTCATCCTTTCCTCTCTCTCTCCCTCCTTACAGAGCGCAGTGACGTCAGTGGCTCGCGACCCGGCAGTGTGGGCGGCCATAGGCAGCAACCCAGACGTGCAGCGGCTGATTGGTCGCAGGAGAAGGAATAGAGCGCCTGCGCCTTCCCTCACCTCTGCTGCTGCTGCTGCTGCTGCTGCTGCTTCTGCTGGTACTGATACGGTTTCTGCTGCTGCTGATACTGCTGCAGTTTCTGCCGCTGTTGATAATGGTGGGGCCGGAGTGTTGCGCAGTGGTTGTGAAGTAGAAGAAGAGTGGGAAACAGGCACAAGGGCTGGGAGGAGCAGAGGAATAAGGAGGGCTGATGATTCGCAGAGCAGGCTATTAGGAAATTGGGAAGCTACCCTGCTTCCCTGTAGTACAGGTACGTACTTTTGAGTCTTCTCAAAGGAAATCGGAAGGAGCAGAGGAACCCTGCTTCCCTGTAGTACAGGTACGTACTCTTGAGACTTCTCAAAGGAAATCGGGAGGCTACCCTGCTTCCCTGTGTACAGGTACGTCGGCTCTTCGTTTTGTGGGAAAGGTACATTGATTCCTTCTCTTTGTGGTGAAGGTAGTCCATGCATGGACTGCGATAATGGCACGTCGACACGGCACGTCTTCTGTTACAAATCCCTGGTCGAGAGACGGTACAGGCCTGCATGTCTCTTGTTGAGTCGCCTTATGGTCACTTTTGAGAGTTTTCAAACTAATTTCTCACACAGGGGCCCTTGTTGTGCGATCAGTGTCTCGTTGAGACAAGTACAGGTGTGCGTTGCGCTGTTTTTCTTGTTCTTCTTCTTATTCGAGGAAGAGAGCATTAGCAAGGGGTTGCCATGCTTTTTTGCTTTCCGCTTCCATATTCTGCCTTGGGCTTTGGCCTCTCCTCTTCTCATTCATTCTCTATGTGCCTGTTGTCCATGTGCCTGTTGTCCATGTGCCTGTTGTCCATGTGTGTTGTTGCTTTGGAAGAGCAGTGGCCGAATTAGCAGCAGCAGGAGCAGTGGAAACTGCAGCAGGAACAGCAGCAGTAGCAAGGGAAGAAACTGCAACAGCAGTAATGGCTGCTGCAGCAACAGCAGCAGAAGCAGGAACAACAGTAGGCACAGTGGCAGAAGCCGTAGCAGCAAGCATTGGTGTGCCAGTGCCAGTAGCAGAGGCTGCCAAACCAGGACTTGCCAATAGAGCAACAGGGAGAAGCTCAGCATCAACAGCACTGCCACGACCAGCATTGTCACTACCACAAGCCAATCGAGACTCCAGCTCCTCTCGACCGCTCGTACCTTATGAGAATGCTCTTGCACCATCACCGCCCGCGTCCCCGCCGTCGCCATCAGTGGTATCCGTGGTTTCTCACTTGCTGGACCAGCTCTCGTCCTTGCCAGGGTCTGCTTGGGGCTCGCTGCTGCTCCTGCTGGGTGCTGATCATCATGATTCTATAGAGCAGATGAGCGAGAGCAGCGAGGAGGGGGCTGACGGGGAGGAGGAGGAAGAGGGGAAAGAAGAGGAGGAGGAAGAGGGAGAACGCGGGAGTTATCCGCAGCAGTTGTGTGGTAGTTTGCATGGTACCTACCGAGCTGCTCCCGCTGCTGCTGTTCAGCATGGTTACAGAGGTAAATTGGGCGAGGAGGGGTGCGAGGAGGAGGAAGAAGAGGAGGAGGGAGGAGATAGTGGGGGCGGTGGGGGCTGTGTGGAAGGGGCGCACGGAGAAGAAGAAGAGCACGGAGGGCCGGAAGTGGTGCCCGCTGTTGCAGTTCTCGTGATTCTCCTTCTCGGGATCATCGTATTCAACAGGCCGCTTTCCTGACGAGGGGTACATGCTGAAAGGAGGTATACGCTGCTGCCAATTCCCTGCCCAGCCCAGCGTGAACACATGGGTAGCAGGGCTTTTGAGGCGCCTCAAAAGTCGTCTCCTGAGGAGGGATCATGCTGAAAGGTGACAAATACTGCAGCCAATTCCCTGCCCAGCATGAACGCAGGGGTAGCAGAGACTAGCCCTGGGTCGCCACGTTAGTGCCTGCCCCTGAACGTAGTGCTGTATATAGCTGTTGTACCGCTTGTTTGTATCAGCTGGAACGGGCAGCAACAGCAGCGCTCCACTGGGACAGGATCCTTCAAGAATCGGGTCAGTCGGCCTCATTGTGTTTAGGTAGGCATGCTTGTGGATCAGTGTACATATCGATAGCTGCTGCTCCGTGGTTGCGGCGTGTGAAAGCCTGATGAGGCAATAGTAGGGGCTCCACATAGAAAGGACAGTTGGGGGAGGTTGGCCTCCCCGTGCTCACACACGCATGCCTGGATCAGTGTACATACATACCGTAGCTAGCTGCACTTTAGTTGCATGTGACAACCGGAAGAGGACAGAGATGAGCTTCTCACGTGGGAAGGACAGCAGGGGACGGTGTATGTGTTATTATCATGGATGTCAACCTGTCATTTGTATGTAGGAATACGAAGCTGCCTGAATCCTGACTAGCTACCACCACCCATCACTGGCATGGATTCTGCGCGACTCCCAATGTCCGAGTTAGCACGCTTAGCCATCAGCTAATTGGTGGAACCCCTTACGGTGTCATCCATGGTTACACTGGGTCTTCCTTTACCAAGGCTGCTGCCGTATATACATGGAAAATAAACTTGGGGGTCTATTCCTATTTCGTAAAAGGGGGTGGGACTATCAGGTGGGGCTATCAAGTGGGTGTAAATGCGATAGACTTGGGGTCTGGTCTTACGTGTAGTTTTTTCTTCTATCAATGTCAAATACTTGTGTAGTTTGTCAAATACTAGTGTTACGGGTGCAACAAATGTGAGCGAAGGGCGAGTGCCCCTCGGCCCCTTCGGCAGTGTGAGATTTACCCGGCCTTTACCCTGCAAATGCCGAGTGCCGCTCGACCCGGGCCGTGTGGCGCGGGCCAGTGACTAGTTTTTTGTCGGGTGCCTCAAAACGAAAGATTAGGATGCACCCCAACATATCCCTCACTTTCAAAGTAAGTTTGATGTCCAAAATTTTGGGATGAAAATGCAGGCCAGCAGTTCAAAAGCCCAAAAATCCATTACAGCCCCCCAGCTGCTGGCGATAATCCGCCGTATCTATGGCGATTATGGCTGGAAACTGCCACTTTTTTCCGCCATTTTTTTGTAGACGTTTTTCGCGATGGTTGACGTCAACGGAGCAGTGGACGCAGATGATGGTAATTCCGTTAACTCCCTAAGCGCCTCGAGAGCATTGGACCTCGCTGGTTGCCCCGTGGCGCCTTCCTTATCCCGCGGGTTCTCGTCCGCCTCCGCGGCGTCTTCCGCCTCGTCACCTTCCCCTCCCCGCGCGTTCCTCTCCGCCGCTCCCCGCCCATTCCTCGCCGCGTCTTCCGCCTCGTCCTCCCCTCCCCGTGGCCCATTCCTCTCCGCCCTATGGGACCGCCTGAGGTCGTACGTTCTCGCTCGTCGGATGAACCAGCACCTGCCTCTCACTCGGTTCAACCCCGAGCAAGCTCACCAGCAGCACGAGCAAGCTCACCAGCAGCAGCACCGCCACGACCACGACTGTCAACAAGATCCTCCTGAATCTCTTCCCTCTCATCCCTCTCTTCCCTCTCATGCCTCTCATCCCTCTCTTCCCTCTCATGCCTCTCATCCCTCTCTTCCCTCTCATCCCTCTCTTCCCTCTCTTCCCTCTCTTCCCTCTCTTCCCTCTCTTCCCTCTCTTCCCTCTCATCCCTCTCTTCCCTCTCATCCCTCTCTTCCCTCTCATGCCTCTCATCCCTCTCTTCCCTCTCATCCCTCTCTTCCCTCTCTTCCCTCTCTTCCCTCTCTTCCCTCTCTTCCCTCTCTTCCCTCTCATCCCTCTCTTCCCTCTCATCCCTCTCTTCCCTCTCATCCCTCTCTTCCCTCTCATCCCTCTCTTCCCTCTCATCCCTCTCTTCCCTCTCATCCCTCTCTTCCCTCTCATCCCTCTCTTCCCTCTCAACCCTCTCTTCCCTCTCATCCCTCTCTTCCCTCTCATCCCTCTCTTCCCTCTCATCCCTCTCTTCCCTCTCACGACGTCCTGCCCCGCCTACTAGTAACCCCCACTCTCCCCAGCAACGCGCTCCTGCTGTTCCTCTCGCTGCTCCTCCTCATCCCCCTCCTCTGCATCCCCCTCCTCGCTCCCTCCTCTCCGCTCTCCCCACCCGCTGCTGCGGCTCAGCCGGCAGAGGGGTCTGGGGCGCAGGCGTGGGGTAGGAAGGGGGATGATGGGGCACAGGCGTGGGGCGGGAAGGGGGATGATGGGGCGAGTAGTGGGGAGAACGGAGAGTTGGCAACAGCAGATGGATCAGAATATTCGACCCATTTCTTGTGTTCTGAGTCAAGGTGCGCACGCATTTTTCCGAGGCTTACTTGAACGCTTTCCACTCATTTCGTATGGCCCGAGTGACCGAGTCACGGAATGTATGTAGGTCTTGCCTAGTTTGAAGGCGCCTCAAAACCATTTTTCTGAGGGTGATTTGAACGCTTTCCACTCATTTTGTATGACCCGAGTCGAGGCATGTAAGAAGGTCTTGCTTCTCCCCGCCCCTCTCTTACCCATCCCAAAAAATCTGAAGGCCGGGGAGATGAGCTCATCCCTCCTCCTCTCAAAGTGAGGAGGGAGGGATACCCTAAGGTCTCCAAGGCTGTTGTCGCTCAAAGGGTAACCCCGAACTTCGCCTTCCCACCAAGAGCCGTGCAGGTTTGCTTTGATGACCGGCGACAACAGTTACGTGGTATTGCACTGCCGCACTCTGTTGGCGTTTCGGGAACATGATGCTATCCAGTCAGGTTGGTGCACTGTCCGTTGAACTTGAAACCCGCGGGATGGGATCACCCCCAGCGGGATGGGATCACCCCCAGCGGGATGGGATCACCCCCAGCGGGATGGGATCACCCCCAGCGGGATGGGATCACCCCCAGCGGGATGGGATCACCCCCAGCGGGATGGGATCACCCCCAGCGGGATGGGATCACCCCCAGCGGGATGGGATCACCCCCAGCGGGATGGGATCACCCCCAGCGGGATGGGATCACCCCCAGCGGGATGGGATCACCCCCAGCGGGATGGGATCACCCCCAGCGGGATGGGATCACCCCCAGCGGGATTAACTACCCCCTCAGGTTCAGAGGGAGGTTTGGTTCAGCTAGGGTTTCAATTTAACTGGTTTGGTGTCGAACCTATTTACCAAACAAGGTTCCGCTTACGGGATATCCATCACCAATTTCGTATGAAAGCAGATACAGTTTTCAACATCCCTCTCCTGTCCTGTTTTCTCTCCCACACACTCTCTCTCTCGCGTTCTACGTCTCTTGCCCTCATCATTTTGAGGTCAAACATGGCAGGAGCCTTCAGGAGGTATGATTTTTTAGAATTCTCAAAAACATATTATGTTCTACGTGTCTTGCCCTCCTCATTTTGCGGTCAAGCATGGCAGGAGCCTTCAGGAGGTTCTCACAGACCTGGCCACGTCAGCATGCCTCCAACGACAAGCAAGCAACCAGCGTCTGACGTGGCACCACGAGGTTTGCGCGCAGCAGAAACCGTTTCTGACGCACAGAGCGCTGGCACAGACAGCAGCACAGACAGCGACACTGTTGGCAGCAGCACAGACAGCGACACTGTTGGCAGCAGCACAGACAGCGACACTGTTGGCAGCAGCACAGACAGCGACACTGTTGGCAGCAGCACAGACAGCGACACTGTTGGCAGCAGCACAGACGGTGACACTGTTGGCAGCAGCACAGACGGTGACACTGTTGGCAGCAGCACAGACAGCGACACTGGAAACAACACCCGGGGCAAGAGAGGTAGTGATGGCGATGCAGGGAGGAGCAGCACAGGCGGTGGTACCATGGGTAACACTAGTAGGAGTGAAACGGTGAGTGTCGAGGGCAGTAATGGTGGCAGCAACAGTGGGAGGGTGGGTGAGGAGGAGGAGGAGGCAAGTGCGGTAGCAGAGCAGGGGGGGTCCGTTCGTGGCGTGGTGATCGCGTCAGTTCTGTCAGAGGCGTGGATACCCATGATGAAGATGTTCTTAACGAGGATGAGACTGGTTGATGCAAGACACGAGCAGGAGAATCACAACCAGCAGCAGCAGCAGCAGCAGCAGCAGCAGCAGCAGCCACAGCAGGAGGAGTACTTAGGAGGTGCAGCTGGTGAGTTCCCGCGGGCAGATGCTCATATGCCCAGCATGGGACCCATGCCTCAGATGCCACGCACGGGGCATGGCCCTCGCCGGGCACCAGGCTCTCTGGTGTCTCGCCTGCTCGTGATCTGCTACGACCGCCACAGCCTGGAGTTCTGCTGCTCGCTCCGCCTGCACTGCTTCCTTGACACTCAGGTGCGTGCGTCTGTCCGCACTGCTGATTTCACACACAGGTGCGCCCGCTTCCTTGGTTGGGAGACAGGTGCGGCTGCTGGGGTAGAGGCCAGTTGGACTGGCAGCAGCACCGTAGGCATCAAGGGTGGATAGCATGCCTTTCGAGATGTCTCACAAGTCGCCCGCACTGCTTCCTTGGTTGGCAGACAGGCGCGGCTGCTGGGGTAGAGACCAGTTGGACTGGCAGCAGCACCGTAGGCATCAAGGGGTAGAAGCGTTATTTTGAGACGTCTCAGAATAACACTTTTATCGATGGGCTAGAGACCAATCGGACTGGCAGCAGCGCAGGCATCAAGGGTGCAGGGCATGTGAAGGGACGGAGCATGTGTGCCATTTTGGGGAATTCTCAGAAGGGAGGGAGCACTGTATGTATATTAGGGAACAAACGTCACTCTCACATCATAAGCTGTCAGTTCGAGGAATGTTCTTGATTCCAATCCCCCTTCCCCCCCCTCCCCCCCCCCCCCCTCCCCCCCCCACAACCTACATCCCCCTCCTATTTGCACCTGGTTAAAAAAAATCCTCGGCCCTTTCCGTCTTCTTTTTTTTGGGGGCAGGAGGATGCACCAGAGGGCGAGAGGGACGATTTCAGTGGCGACCAGAAGAAGTTCATGACTCCGGCCTTCGTGCACCTGGTATTTTTGCCCCTGGTATTTTTGCCCCTGGTATTTTTGCCCCTGGTATTTTTGCCCCTGGTATTTTTGCCCCTGGTATTTGTGCACCTGGTATTCTTGCCCCTGGTATTTGTGCACCTGGTATTTTTGCCCCTGGTATTTTTGCCCCTGGTATTTTTGCACCTGGTATTTGTGCGTATTTGTGCACCTGGTATTTGTGCACCTGGTATTTTTGCCCCTGGTATTTTTGCCCCTGGTATTTTTGCCCCTGGTATTTTTGCCCCTGGTATTTTTGCCCCTGGTATTTTTGCCCCTGGTATTTGTGCACCTGGTATTTTTGCCCCTAGTATTTTTGCCCCCGGTATTTTTGCCCCTGGTATTTGTGCACCTGGTATTTGTGCACCTGGTATTTGTGCACCTGGTATTTTTGCCCCTGGTATTTTTGCCCCTGGTATTTTTGCCCCTGGTATTTTTGCCTTTCTGGGTGGGCCGTATGCTAAGAGATCCGGATGGACGTCGATGCTGTTTTTCCCCTTTTTCTCCCTGCTTGTTTTCCCCTTTTTGTCCTTGTGGGTTATTGCATCATCTCTACCCACTCCCCCGCTGTTGCTCTAGATTCTATCTTCATCCTTCCTTATCTCCTCTCACCTCTCCCCATCTCCTCATCTCTCCTCACCTCTCCTCATCTCCTCATCTCTCCTCATCTCTCCTCATCTCTCCTTATCTCTCCTCTATGTCGCCTCATTTCTCGTATTTTATTTCGTCCTCTCCTCTTTGCTCAGGTCTGGAGGCGGCTGCATATCGTCAGGCGAATCATATCTTTAGGATTTGATGTGATCTTTACAGACAATGACGTCATGTGGCTGCAGGTGTGTGGCAGTGACGTCTCGTGGCAGCAAAGCCATGTTGCTATGTGCAATGTGACTCGTTTTGAGACATCTTTCGGAATCATTCTCTGAGAGAAAACAGGGAAAATCGAATGTACACAAGTTGTTGTTGTCAGTACTTAGGCTTAGAAGGGATACATTAGTAATGAGCTTGAAGCTCTTTAAGTACATCCAAGAAGGGGAGGGAATGGATGGGGAAGGGAATCGGGGGCAATCCCTAGGGATTGGGGGTAATCCCAAGGCAATCTCCAATTGGTGGGTTGGAGATTGCTTGGAGATTACATTTGGGTTTGGTTGGGATGTACCAGGTGTACACCCAACCAAACACAATGTGCAAACTACACTACTCTAGGATATAGACAATGCAAAGTACAAGGTGTGAGATTGAAGGCTAACACTAACACCCCCCCATAGGCGTCAATCGAACTCAGGGTAGAGAGGGTGGTGCACAGAGCCCCATGGCGCCTAGGAGACGGTGGTGGGGAACTTTCCCAAGGGGCTTGGTGAACAGATCAGCCAGGTTGCAGTCGGATGCTACGTATTCCACTTTCAGCTGCTCCTATTGGACAAGGTCACGGATGAAGAAGTGCCGGAGTTCAATATGCTTGGTACGGGTGTGATACACAGGGTCTTGAGAGATGTGGATGGTACTCTGGTTGTCACACCAGAGGGTGGGGGCGGACTGTGGGAAACCAAGCTCCTGGAGTAGGAAGGTGAGCCAACGGGCCTCCTGAGCAGCCATGGTGCCAGCGTAGAGCTCTGCCTCACAGGAGGAGAGGGAGACTGCAGACGACCTGGTGGAGCGCCAACTGACAATTCCGCTCCCAAGGGTGAAGCAGTACCCCTGAGAGGAGCGTCGGTCGGTCTGGTCATCAGCCCAGGAGGAGTCGGTGTAACCTTCCAGGCGAGGAGGGGAGAGCCCACCGAGTGTGAGAACGTGAGACTTGGTGCCCTGAAGATAGCGCAGCACCCGCTTCGCCGCCTTCCAGTGAAGATCAGTGAAGCGTCCAGGGGCCACGTAGCGAGAGAGGACACTGACAGGATAGGCCAAGTCTGGCCGGGTGCACATCATGGCGTACATGAGGGACCCAACAAGCTCCGGGTATGGCTCTGAGCAGGCCTCTGGTGTGGGTACAGCTGGAGTTGTGAGGAGGTGTTGCAGCGGTAGCGGGGTGGCAACAGGTGTGCACAGCTCCATCTCAAACCGCTTGAGCACATTGTCGATGTAGAACTCCTGGGAGAGTGAAATGGTGCGAGCCTGGCGATCACGAGTGATCTCCATCCCCAGGTAGTGCTTGAGGTCACCGAGGTCTTTCATCTGGAGGGCCTTGCTCAGGGCGGCCTGGACAGAGGTCATCTGGGCTGAGTCCTTGGCAATGAGGATGAAATCATCCACGTAGACCAGGATGTAGAATGGCTCAGAATGACGGCGGATGAAGAGAGTCGGGTCAGCAGTTGAAGGGTGGAAGTCCAGGGAGAGGAGGACTTCTTTCACCTTGTTGTGCCATTCGCGAGGGGCTTGCTTAAGGCCGTAGACGGGGCGATTCAGCTTCCAGACAGTGTTGGGAGGGAATTCTCCTTGGAAACCTTCTGGTATGTCCATGAACACTGTCTCCTTGAGACGTCCTTGTAGGAAGGCGGATGAGGCATCCATGGATTTGATCTCAAAGTCTTCTCGAGCTGCGATATCCATGAGCGTACGAATGGTGGGAGGTTTGGATGTGGGGGAGAAGGTTAGGAAGAAGTCACGGTACTGCTGCTGGGTGAAGCCCTTGGCTACGTAACGCGCTTTGAACACCGGGGCCTCGTCTGGGAGCTGTTTTACATGGAACAACCACTTGCCCCCGACGATGTTGACTCCTGGAGGTGGAGTCTCGTCGTCGAAGGAGTGGTTGCGGGTGAATGCTGCAATCTCCGCTTCCATGGCAGCACGCCATTCGGCAGCATGAGGGCCTGAGAGAGCCTCTTGGACGGTGAGAGGGATAGGGATGGTCGGGTTCTCCGCGAAGTTGAGGGAGGGTGAGTCAGTGATGTCGGGGAAGATGTGCGAGAGCTGAGGAATGACTGCATGAAGATCACACAGCTCCTCATGCCTGTCTTCCAGAAGGGTAGAGGGCACATCCCCCCCAGCAGGAGGAGGCGGAGTGATCGCTGTGTATCGAAGAACCATCGCTAGTGGAAGAGCAGCGCGATGCGAACGAGTTCCATGAGCCACCGGAGAAGAGGGTGGGGCAGGCGGTGTCGGAGGGGTTGACTTAGGAGGCTTGGGCGGGGGAATGGGCCGCCGGTGGTACGTGATCAGCTCGGGCGACTGTGGGAGAGCGGGTTCCTCTGTGGTGGGGGGAACCGGGGGAGGAGGTGGGGCCGGAGGGTGGGACCGCCGATGGTAGGTGATAGGTGCGCTCGGAGGTGGCTGCACAGTCGGCGGAGTGGGAAGTGAGGGGGATGGGGGAGCAGCTGCCGACGACACCGGTGAGGGCGGGTCAGACCTCAGAGGGGGACGGTGCGGTGGCAGGAGGGGTAGGAGGTGAAGGGGCCGGAGCAGGCGGGAGGTCAGGAGGCGCATCAAAGTCTGCCCACACAAGGGAGGGTGGATCAGGGAGAGGGTCCCGTCCCGAAGTGGGGTAGAATGGGCGGGTCTCATCAAAGACAACGTCGCGGCTCCGGACCAACTATTGAGTGGAGGGATTGAGGAAGAGGTAGTCAGGTGAGTCGGCGTTGTGCCCGAGGTAGATGCACGTCTGGGTCTTGGGACCGAGCTTGCCGCCGTGCTGCCGTCGAGCCTGAGGGTTGAGGAGGACATAGGCGGTGCACCCCCAAACGCGAAGAGAGCGAGCAGTGGGCGTTTTCCCGAGCCAGAGTGTGGTTGGAGTGGTGTCGGAAAGATGCGTGTGGGGGTAAAGGTTGTAGAGGAGGGCGGCGTGGTAGAGAGCGTACCCCCAGAGAGAGTGTGGAGCGTTGGAGTGGCTGAGGAGGCACCGAGTGATCTGCACCAGGGTGTGGTTGCGGCTCTCAGCTATGCCGTTCTGCTGCGGGCTGTCAGGGAGGGTGAAGTTTTGCTGGATGCCTTCGGAGGAGCAGAAGGCTTTGAGCTTGTCGTTGCAAAACTCACCGCCACCATCTGAGTGGAGGCGCTTGACTTTGCGGTCAAAGGCGGTCTGTGCCTGTTTAACCCACGCCATGAGGACCTCTGGAACCGCAGCCTTAGTGTGAAGGAGGTGAACAGAGACGTAGCGAGAGTGGTCATCGACAATAACAAGGAAGTAGCGATAACCACCTCGTGCGGGAACAGGGGCAGGGCCCCAGACGTCCAGGTGTACCAGGTCCAGTGGTCCAGCTGCGACAGAGGGTGAGGCCGGGTGGGGCTGTTGACGCAGTTTGCTCTTGGTGCAGTCAAGGCACGTAGGAGCGGGGGAGTCTGGTGGTGGAGGAAGTGAGGCTGGCAGGCCGAGTAGAAGTTTCTTGGAGGCCATGTCAGCAAGTGTGCGGAAGTTTGGGTGCCCGAGCCGATGGTGGTAGAGTATGGTCGGGTTGGAGAAACTGCGGCACGAGCATGGGGAGGTAGTCGCCGCTGTTTGGGTGGTTGACACCT